CGCGGCTGAGGCCCCACGGTTGACATACTCGCTGCATCCAACGGGATGGGCCACGGTTGGTAAACTCGCTGCATCCAACGGGATGGGACGTTCCACAGTTGGTATACTCACCGCATCTAACGGGATGGGACGCTTCACAGTTGGCACACATACTGCATCCAACGGGATGGGATATTCCACAGTTGGCACACTCACTGCATCCAACGGGATGGGATATTCCACAGTTGGCACACTCACTGCATCCAACGGGATGGGATATTCCACAGTTGGCACACTCACTGCATCCAACGGGATGGGATATTCCACAGTTGTCACACTAGCTGCATCCAACGGGATAGGATATTCCACAGCTGGCGCACCCGCTGCATCCAACGGGATGGGACGGTCCACGGTTGGCAAACTCGCTTCATCCAACGGGATGGGACGTTCCACGGTTGGCAAACTCGCTGCATCCAACGGGATGGGACGTTCCACAGTTGGCAAACTAGCTGCATCCAACGGGATGGATATTCCACAGTCGGCACGCTCGCTGCATCACACGGGATGGAACGTGCCACAGTTGGCACACCCGCTGCATCCAACGGGATGGGACGTTCCACGGCTGGCAAACCAGCTGCATCCAACGGGATTGGATATTCCACAGTTGGCACACCCGCTGCATCCAACGGGATGGGACGTTCCACAGTTGGAACACTCGCTGCATCCAACGGGATGGGCATATCAGCACAGCAAACGTGGCTCTATTAGTAGTTTTTGTCTCGTTGTCCGACGCGCGCGGGATTTGCTTTGGTTTGCCCCGGGCGTCCAGCGGGACGACCTTAGGCCGGGCCGGCCACGGCTAGTTCATCACATGCGTGGCGCACATGAAGACGAGCATGACGTGGCCGCCACGTGGCAAACCTCACACTAACACGTCTCGTAACGACGCGACCACGCAAATATTGCTGGTGGTCTACACAACTATGAACTCATGCCAAAAAACCAAGAGCTCGAGCCTTTTCATGTTTACATTAGGTACAATATCTGGGGAATGTATTGCACATATACCAATATGACACTGAATGGCCAGACAAAAAGCATTAATGAAATCTGCGTGAAAGGATGACAAAAACCGCAAGCGCACCACACCCGCGCAAAACGCGACGCTCGCTACTGCGCCGAACCAGACTTCTACTACCTCCTGACATCACACGCGGCGCTGGGTACTGTGCCGGCCTGGACTGCTCCATCATACGCGGTGCTGGCTACTGTGCCGGTCTGAACTGCTCCTGACTCCATCATATGCGGTAATGGCTACTGGGCCGGTCTGGACTGCTCCATCATAAGCGGTGTTGGCTTCTGTGCCGGTCTGGGCTACACCTAACACCATCATACGCGGTAGCGGCTACTGTGCCGGTCTGGACTACTCTAACACCATTATACGCGGTAGCGGCTACTGTGCCGGTCTGGACTACCCCTAACACCATCATACGCGGTAGCGGCTACTGTGCCGGTCTGGACAGCTCCTGGCTCCATCAAACGCGGTAATGGTTACTGTGCCGGTCTGGACTGCTCCTGACTCCATCATACGCGGTAGTGGCTACTGTGCCGGTCTGAACTGCTCTAACGCCATTATACGCGGTAGCGGCTACTGGGCCGGTCTGAACTGCTCCTGACTCCATCATACGCGGTAGCGGCTCCTGTATCGGTCTGGACTGCTCCCGACTCCATCATACGCGGTAGCGGTTACTGGGCCGGTCTGAACTGCTCCTGACTCCATCATACGCGGTAGCGGCTACTGGGCCGGTCTGAACTGCTCCTGACTCCATCAAACGCGGTAGCGGCTACTGTGCCGGTCTGAACTGCTCTAACACCATTATACACTATTGCGGCTACTGGGCCGGTCTGATTGCTCTAACACCATTATACGCGGCGCTGGCTACTGGGCCGGTCTGACCTGCTCTAACACCATCAAACGCGCTAGTGGCTGCTGGGCCGGTCCGAGCTGCTCTAGCACCATCATACGCGGCAATGACTACTGGGTCGGTCTGAACTGCCCTAACACCATTATATGTGGTAATGGCTACTGTGCCAGTCTGGACTGTCCCTAACACCATAATACGCGGTGCTGGCTGCTGGGCCGGCCTGAACCTGCCCCTAACACCACTATACGCGGCGCTAAAAACTATGCCGGTCTGGACTACTCCCAGCTCCACCATACACGGCCTGGCTACTATGCCAGTCTGGACTGCTGACTCCACCATACACGGCCCTGGCTACTATGCCGGTCTGGACTGCTGACTCCACCATACGCGGCCCTGGCTACTATGCCGGTCTGGACTGCTGACTCCACCATACGCCGCGCTACACCGGTCTGGACTGATCGTAACTCCTTATGCGTACATGTGCAGGTATTAATCTGTATCTTCGCTAGATGGAGTCATTGCCACGGTCCGACCGGAGCCACATCATGGGCACATTCGTGGCACGAATGCGAGCACGAGCACAGACGGCCCGACGGCTATATGCTCAACACTGTTCTGGCACAGGCCATCAGTGAACATCCAACATGGGTGCATCTATGGTTCACGGTGGGATTCGGAAGAGATCTGAGACGCAGGGTGGCCGCTTCCGAGCCGACGCCATTGATCCTGCACCCCCTCCCCCCCCCGCCATTCGACCGGAGACAGGCTGACCACATGGACCGGATCCTTGTAAGGCCTGACCGGAGCCCGACCCCCAGGGACCGGATGTTTCTGTGCCAGACCTGGTACCCACCCACTGCACCGGACTCGGCTCTATCGACCACAGCCAGCGCATATCACAAGCAAACCGCGTGGGTGGGCCGGCCTCCAGGGCCAGTCCGGATCCTGTACTGGAGCGAGCAAACATACACAGCGCCGGCTATGCCGTGTCTCGCGAGAAGCGTGACAGCCGACAGCGTCACAATGGGCAGCGTCATACCAGTGTCATGGTAGTCAGCGTCACATTGGGCAGTGTCACAGTGGCCAGCGTCACAGTGAGCAGCGTCACGGCAGCGTCACAGTGGCCTGTGTCACAGCAGCGTCAAAGTGAGCAGCGTCACAGTGGGCAGCGTCACGGTGGCCAGCGTCACAGTGGACAGCGTCACAGTGGGCAGCGTCACAGTGGGCAGCGCCACGGTGGCCAGCGTCACAGTGGACGGCGTCACAGCAGCGTCAGAGTGGGCACGGGGGGCGGGGGAGCATGGCCCGGTTGACGCCCTGAACCAATCCTTGCACCCAAAGCCTACCAAGAAGACGGTGCAGAGGCAGGCACCACCAATGGGCAAACGAGAGCGGTTCTCGAACGCTAAGTGATCAAAGGGCTCTGCCCTTCTGCCGCCCTGTGGGGTCCGCTCAGAGCACTGGACAGGAGGACACTCCAGCCAGACCGTCCAAACAGCATATGCGACCAGTAATACCTGGCCCATCACCGAATTGGCATGCCTACTCTGACACGGATAAAGGGCACTTAATCTGTCAAGAGTACGCCAGAGTGGCCAGGATCCCTAAAGGTAAGAACACGGACAAGCAGATCAAACTTAAAGCACACTATGCACTACCTAGATGACACCGCTACAGCGGTGGCTCGCACAGGCAGATGAACAGCCTTCTCCGCATCGCGGCCACAGCTGGCTCCTGACAAACTGGAAACAAGCATCGACCCAGGTCTCGATGGCCTGGCGGGAACCCTTCCCTCCAGCCACCCGGAGAATGACTGGCGCTGTCGTCATTCTCAAGAAAGATTAACCAGCTCCCGTAAATAAAGGTGGCTTGAGAAGTGTAGCGATCACGCGTGCGTGTGACATTTATGTGAGGAAGATAGCCCGTGGGCGGGTCACTTTGGCACACAAACAGAATGATTTTGAATGGATACTGATGGAGAGGCAAGGGCAAAGTCACGGAGGTGGACCACGTGCGCCATGTTCCTTTTACCTAACATAACGGGGACTACGCACCTACGATTGCACCTCTATCAACAAAGCAGCGCAATGTCGTCATTCTCCGTCTGGACCCACCGCTAGCATTTGACATCACTCGCTGTGACTCATGATATATGTTCCTGCAACGAGCTATGCACAGTGACTGTAACACCGCCGTCCTCCACCCTCCTTAAGCATGGACCATAACACTGCAATCCCGCGTGGATGGACCATACCACTGTAACCCCATAGGTTGCTGATCTCGTCATAAAAACACATTAGCGCAACGTCCTACATCTCCTTTTCTTCCAATTCATTGTCGGTTTCAACAGGTCTTATCCGTTGTCCACGTCCAGCCTGGACGCAGCTTCACGTGCACTAAGGCTGTCTTGATCTGTGTCTGTGAATGCGTGTGTGTGCTCTGTCATCGATGTCTGTGACGGTGTGCTGTCACTTAGCATCTCGACACAAAAGATGGCAATGGAGACATTCGCCACTTCAGCTATATCAGCAGTCTGACTGCTTTTTGTCTTGCCTTGCCAGAATAAGACATTTAGTAGGTTAAAGCTGCCAAATCATCGTCCAATTCGTGACAGATTTCATGGCTCAATTCTGAGCTTACTGCAGCCCTCTCGGATTCCGTTTGCAAGAAAAAAGCCGTTCGTATTGTTGCCTTCTTTAAAATAAGCTTAACTCTCGCGAACTGCACCGCGTGTGTCACTGGGACCTTACGACGTCCTGAGCTGCTGAGGCTATACGTCGTCGCCTGCCTCTCACCCTGGCGGGAAGGACGGGCACCGCGAAGAGGGCTTCACTGCGAATATGGCCACTCAGCAAGGTACCATTCAATCTCCCGCACGCTACATTATAAGCATCACAACGTGTGGCATCCGACAAGGCATCTGAACCAGCAATTGCCTTGAATCCCAACCTTGCAATCCCATTCAAGACCTCGCTTCTTCGCCCCGCGCCGCGACCAGCTTCCATCGGTTCACTGCCTGCACGGATCGCGCGGTCCCCTCCAGAGCACGCGCAGGCGACGCCAGCCGGCCAGCCAGCCACACCTCGGAGGACCCACCTGCCGTAAGCGCGCTGCGACGGCGGCAGCGGCCGGCCGGCCAGGCCAGGAGCCAGGCGCGCCGCCGGCCGCCGGTACCGGCCCCCCTCGGTCGACACCACCGTCTCGGAGGAGGCTAGCGAGACCGAGGAGCCGGCCGCCACGTCCGCCTCGCTCAGCGTGGCCGGCGTGCTGATGGACGGCGTGGTGCAGCTGGTCAGCGTCAGGTCGTCGTCCGACAGTTCTGTGAGAGGCAGCACACGCGTCAGACCGTCGTCCAACAGCTCTGTAAGGGACAGCACGCGCGTCAGATCGTCGACTCACAGCTCTTTAAGGGACAGCACACATGTCAGACCGTCGTCCGACAGGTCTGTAAGGGACAGCACACGGATCAAACCGTCATCCCAAAGCTCTGTAAGGGACAGTACACGCATCAGATCGTCGTTCGGCAGCTCTTTAAGGGACAGCACACGTGTCAGATCGCCGTCCGACAACTCTGTAAGGGACAGTACACGTGTCAGATCGTCGTCCGACAGGTCTGTAAGGGACAGGACACGTGTCAGACCGTCGTCCCACAGCTCTGCAAGAGACAGCGCACGCATCAGATCGTCGACCGACAGCTCTTTAAGGGACAGCACAGATCGTCGTCCGACAGCTCTGTAAGGGACAGCACACGTGTCAGATCACCGTCCGACAACTATATAAGGGACAGACACGCGTCAGATCGTCGTCCAACAGCTCTGTAAGGGACAGCACACGCATCAGATCGTCGTCCGACAGCTCTTTAAATGATAGTACACGCGTCAGACCGTCGTCCGACAGCTCTATAAGGGACAGCACACGCGTCAGATAGTCGTCCGGTCGCTCTGTAAGGGACAGCACACGCATCAGATCGTCGTCCGACAGCGCTTTAAGGGACAGTCCACGTGTCAGATCATCATCCGACAGATCTTACAATCCAGATTTCCAAATGTATCCAGTTGGATGCCAAGGATGTCAATTTCAATTCGTGCTACCAAATTTCCATCTCCTCAGCCGCCTCCGCCCGCCATGTTCCGTTGGCTACGAATACATTGGTTTTGAAACTCCGGGCTGACATTTTGACCTGTCCATCAGACTTGACAAGTCCGAGGCCTCTAGATACTTGGACTGACCGCCGATCGTAACACAGGTCCGCCAGACAACCAACACGTCTAGCGTAAGATGATAAAGACTTGTTGGACTGAACGAAATGAGTAGAAGTTCCTTCGCAGTGTCATAATGGAGCTTTGGTTACGGTATCCGGCATTCAGAAACCTTCCGGTCAAGGACAACTATTTATTGGGAATTTTGCTTTCAAGTATCTTCCAAGAACATTTACTTGCATCACTGCTTAAAGATGACATTGAGACGGCATCAAATCCGGGGCCAGTTTACGATCAGCACCTCTCCCCACTGTTGGGGGTTCCTCGGTAGAAACATTCCACACGCGCTCCCACCTCCAGCACATTCTTTACCTCTCCACTGTCTCAGGCCTGCACCAAACAGACGCACCTTACGACCGGGCCCGTCCCAGTCCTGTGACCGTTGAGGTTGTCCGCCCCCCCCCCCGCACCAGGCCGCGCCATGCCCGTGACGTCCACGCTTAAATATGCCAAAAAAATCTGCTTGATCAAGCTTTTTTCATCATTTCGTGTTGGCTAGTTATCAGCGCGTACTACCCCTGCACGTTACTGCGCCCTTATAACAATATGGTGGGGCGGTCTGATTGACCAGATCTGATGGCCCGACCTGCGCGTGCTCTGACGGGCAGGTCATGCATAGCCCCTGTTGTTACTGCCCCCCTCATAACAATGTCACTGATCAATTTGATCACTCGACAAAACGAAATAAAATAAAACAAAACACAACAAAAATCCTATCTCAAGAAAGCAAAATAAACCAGGCGGAGCACGCACCAGTGTCGTCGGCGTCGAAGAACTCGTCCTCGGAGGTGACACAGTGCTGCTCGAGCAGCTGGGAGGGCGGCGCCTGCGACGACAGGCTGCGGTGCAGCGACTCCTCCAGCTGGTGGTGCTCCGTGGCCAGCACGTGCAGCGACTGCTCCAGCACGCGGCAGCGCTCGCGCTCCTGGCGCAGCTGCAGCTGGCGGACCTGCGCACCGGGCGGCCGCCCCGTCACGGCAGGGGCGACGCGCACCCGGGCGGGGTCACGCCCGCACACAGAGCAGTCGTGCGGCACAGAGGCGGTGAGCAGGAGTGCGACACAGGGGGAACGCGACTGGGCGGTGGCACGGGACCGACGTGTCGCACGGCAGCTCAGGATGTGGGACAGAGACATGGAACAGGGTCGTGACACAAGCGAAGAGCAGGAGCGTGGCACGGAAGCGCGAAGCAGGGATGCTGCGGAGCGACGCAAAAAAGACGCGTGATACTGAGAAACGGACGTGTCGCGCTGTGATGAAGAGGAAGCGTGCTCCGTTACGATTCGTGACAGGCGCGTGCGTCAGTTGCATACTAGAGCGCGCTTGCCCTTTTCTATTCCCAGCGGCGCACAGCGACGGACGGGAGGAAGAAGTGACAGCCAGAAAACCAATAGTTCCATACCTCATGTCGACACGCACACCCCAGAAAGGACGGCCGCCACCAGAAGGACCCTGTGCACGGCCCGGTGCAGGCATGCACACACCCCGAAATACGCAACAGACTAAGACTGTCCCGTACAGCAACGCACGTAGGGTATTTTCCACTCACTGCGTTAACATTTTACTGGCTATGACGCTATACGCGGCATAGGAGGCCGGACCACTGCGGTGACAAAATACATGCTAGCCCGGCGATCTCTTGACATTCCCGTGCCGGTCCAAAGGGCCTCTGTGCACAGCGTAATCCCAGGCTCGGGCAGGCCATCTTACGCATCTTACGCAGCTTCATTCGGAGCAGTGGTGACGTCACAGAAAAACATGGACACGCACGGGACGCGCCACAAGCACAAACTACAAACCATCTGGTCATGCCGCGGCACAGGCCTCGCCGCCCGCGCGGGTCCCGGTCCCGCCTGTCCAGCGCAAGAGACGTGGCCGCTGGATTACCTCCTCCTGTTGCGTGAACAGGGCCAGACAGTGAGCGAGGCTTCCGACCATCTCCTTGGCACATTCACTGGTCTCCCGAAGCCTCTGTCAACAGATTGGAGAGAAACGGCTACAGGGACATAAAGTCACGGAGCTCATGCCTCAACGCTAACCGAAAGGAATCGGAGACCTAGGTCAGCGTTTGGCTTCTTGAAATGATGTCTACGAGTTGTCAAGTACACTAATAGCTAAAACTGAGGGCTGCTCCACTAATTTAGAGGTGAAAGAACACCACAACGTCGCAAGTTTCTCCGCTTCGACAAGGTAAGCATGCGGACGTGCTTACACAACTGCGGACACCGCTGACAATTCAGCCTACGTGAATGATCGCGATCGTGATCGTGATCGTGAACGTGACCGTGATCGATCGTGATCTATCGTGATGATCGAATGTTTTTTCCTAAATACATCTGGACCGGTGTGGAGCAGTATCACAGCCACCAGCCCTGACGTGTATACAGTCCGAGGCTGCGACACACAGGATGCCTCCGCATTGCCGTCACCTCGCCTGACCTGACCTGACCTGACCCAACGGCGCTGGCGCTGCTCACCTCCACCACCGCCAGCGAGTGAGGCACCGCCTCCGCGCTGTGCAGAGAGCTCATCACGAACGTGATCTCCTGCAGATGCTCGCGCAGCAGCTGCTCCTGGGCCTTGGCACTCTGCATCGCGTCCTGCGCCGCCCGCCGCCGCGTCACACCCGGTGTCGCGCCAGCGCGGCGTGCACCTCATACACCTGCCACTTTGTGGCATTCGGAAACAATTTGGGGACTCCTGCGACTGCTGACTGCCAGGGGCAGGGTGATGCAAAGACATCGACGGAGAGACATTCCACACTTGTCTGTCAAGAGTTTGAAGGAACGGCATTCCCCATGACGACGATCGGCAGGAAACGATGCACCCCAGTGGTTACCTGCATTGAGCCGAGTGACTTCACTCCGTCCTCCTCCGGGTCCTCCAGTCCGAGGCCTTGGCGGATGTAGTGGCTGCTGAAGTCGATGTGCTCCTGCAGCGCGTTCACCCACTTCTGCAACACCAATCACCGTGGCTGACATCTCGAACGGGCCGGCGGCGACACAACAGCGGATTATTAAGGCGAGGACATCCCGCGCTGAGCAAACCCGTCTCTACATACACAGCAACACCCGCCTCGTCTCTGAGAGCTGGCCAGCCGTGCCCCCAGATCCACACATTTTGCGGACCGCGTTCAACTATTGCGTCAAACAGCACGTTTCCTGCAGCCTTGCGAAAGGTCAGTAGCGCACGGAGCCGTGTCGGGACCACAGCGAAGCCCGCCGCCGGCCCGGCGCGAGGGCGGCGAGCCCGGCCGGCCCGCACCTGCCGGCTGACGCGGTCGTCGCCGTCGTCGCAGCGCAACCGGTGCATGGTGCCGTCGCTGAACCGCACCACGAGCGTGGCACCCTCCGGGTCACCGTCCGACGCCACGCGCGCTCCGTCCAGGTACTTGAAGTCCTTACGCTTGACGCCGGAGCTGGCGTCGCCGCGGGAGCTGAAGTAGGTCAGCACTCCTCGCTCGAGCACCGCCTGACGGAATGACGCTGGTCAGGAGCCGCGGTGGCGACTCCTCCCAGCTCACAGAGGACGGGAGGACAGGACTAGCGTCGACACCTCTCAGGGTTCAAATAGGACTTTGGCACGTATGTGGTGTCCGGTCTAGCATGGCACAACGGGCACACCAAGCCCAAAAGGAGAAGACGCCCTGACGTCTCACCCAGATGGAAACCAGCACTCGCGTCACATTACCCATAGACAGCGGGCAGTGGGGCGTCCCACAAAAAAAACTTGTTGAATAAGTACGGAAGCTCAGTGGCAGTCTAGTTCTCCGTTTCTTTTTTTAAGAGGATGCGACCCGCGTCGTCACGTCGCTTCCATGGGGCGCCGGCCACCGCACTAACCTCATTAATGTTCAGGGACGATGGCACAACCGAGATTCCAGCCCAGGTCGTCCACATGAGAGTCCGACGCACAACTATTCGGCCATTGCACATGACACATGGCGTGGCATACGACCGAGCCGGTGCCGCCCGGCCGCGCGGCCCGCGTCGCCCGCCGCCCGCCGTCTCACCCAGACGGGCTTCCAGCCGGTGAACCGGTGGCGGCGCACGAGCGGGCCCTCGCAGCGGACGGCCGAGCGCTGCAGCCGCCGCAGCGGCGTCACGCCCAGCACCTGGCGCATCTGGTCGTCCTGCGTCAGGTCCACCGCCAGCTGACCTGGCCGCAGGCGGCACGGCCGGCACCGTCAGGCACGGACGGTGCGGCGCCGGCCGGGGCCGGGCGTGAAAGGCGCGCCGGACTGTGCGGCCCGGAGGTGGACGGGTTCGAACCTCGTCCCGTCGAATCTTGTCCGTTCGGTGCGTCAGCATTTCACAGGCACCATCGCGGAAAACGACAGCAGTAGTTCCGCCGCCGATGGATGTATCAGCTGCGTTCGTTAAAGGGTGATTCAGCCGCCTGTACCAAGTGTCTCACCGATGGGAGCAGTGTTACGACGGAAAAGGTGCAGGCACACGCACGCACGCGCACTGCAGCCTAGTATACACGAACAACGCATGTTATGCGCCACAGGTCGGTTAAGGATCTCGCGCGACACCGTCCAAAGTGCACGACCGCCCTAGGAGACATTTGCCGTGTGTTCACAGACCGAGCCCTGCTTCGCTTCCCAGCCACAAATGGTGCACCAACATCAGCCTGATTGAGGATGACACAATCGTTATTTTGTGTTTGGCATGCCTCGGTGCCTATAACCGCTAGTTACCAATCTACGCCGAAACCGACGACGCCGAGCCACTCACCGCTGACATTACGGATGGTGGTGTCGATGCCGTTCTCCAGCAGGAGCACGGCCAGCGCCTTGTGGCCCCGGTACGCCGCCACGTGCAGGCACGTGTTGCCCTGATTGTCGGCACAGTTGATGTTCGGTGGATGCGGCTCCTTCAGCTGAAGCAGCAAACAATACCCCAGCGTGAGCGGAGGAGCGAGCTCCTTCCAAGGTGCTGAGTCCTAGAGACACTTCGTTGGACAAGTGGTTAGATGGCATGGGCATGTTTTGCTCTAGAAATTGGAACAAATCAAAAGATCGTGTCGCACATGCAGTGCAGCTTGCTTCCGCTACATTTCATGATTACGCTCTGTTTGTTCGAGGTCCTCACCAGTAATTGACCGCGGCATTTATCTGCTAATTGTTCCGAAGTATGTATGCAGCCTTATGTTCTTAAACCATCTTTGCCAACTGACAACTTTATCAGGTGAAACTTGATTTAGGAATGGACTTTACATGCGCGCAAAATGCCAGCGCAACATTTCCTTGAGGCAATCAATTGGTTTGGTGATGTTTTTTCGTGGTTGGTTTATATTTACGTGAAGCATGGCGATAATTTTACTTTGTCTTAAACGTGACGTGCATTTTCAAGACTCAATTTTCAAGCAGCTCAGTGCACCCACGCGCGTGATATACATATATGTACACATTCCATGCAAGGTTTTCCTCACGGTTGTATTGCGTTGCCATCAATAGTTGGTCCTACGACGAACAGTCTGATCTTGCACCAGCATGTAAAAGTCATCTTAACAAGAACGGAATATTATGCAAACATAAACTCGTACAGAGTTGTCAAATTTGTCTGCTGTTCGAACCGCGGGTGCCATTTGTTTTTTTTTGGGGGGGGGAAGGGGTGAGCCACTGCCCCTCCACCAATGTCCAACCTCCCCCCCCCCCAACGATGGGTTTGGCTCCTCAACCTTCTAAGGGCTTAGTGCAAGCAGAACATTACAAATGGTTGCTAAAAACTATCTCAATTTTATAAAGGGTCTAGTAATCATTTGACAGGCAGAAAGAACAAAGAAAAGGCGACTTGCGATATCATGTTAAGTTGCGTGCAACTAACTGGGCTAATCCGCCCACCAGACCGTTCACAACATACTTGGTCGTCAATCCTGACAAAGCGCGCCCCAGTTCCGCCTGCCCGTTTCACGGCCTGAGTGCCGCCAGCCGACGCCGCGACACAGCCGCTTACCATTTGGTCGACGACGTGAGTGTGCCCGTCGCTGGCGGCGCGCAGCAGGCGCTGCTGCTGCAGGCGGCGCTCGGTGCCGGCCGCCGCGCGCAGCAGGCTGCTGATGTAGGGGTCGGTGGAGACGGCCGCCGCCAGCCGGCCCTCGCCGTTCAGCACGCTGACCGAGGCGCCCCGCTTCAGCAGCAGCAACACCAGCTCCTGACAACCGCCGGCCGCTCAGTCGCCGGCCCAGCTCCGGGGCGGACCACGCGCAGCACCAGCTCACTGGCCGCTCAGGTACCGGCCCGGCTCCGAGGCGGGCCGGTAGCACACGCAGCACCGGCTCACCGGCCGATCAGGTACTGGCCCGGCTCCGAGGCGGACCACGCGCAGCACCAGCTCACAGCCAACAATGGACAGACCAACCCCACAGGAGCACGACTTGTTGGGAAATGAATTCTCATGGGAGCGAATAATGCACGGATAGATGAACCGCTATCACACTGCAGTTGGAAGTTCGTCAGCAATGAATCATTGTAGTCTCTCTCAAACTGCATAGGCGCAAGTGCATAACAGCGGGACAACAGGGAACCTGCTTGTGAGAGTCAGAATTAGTTTCAAATGTCACCAAACATCGCTTACCACAACAGTTTTCGGAGAACTTGGCAAACAGTTACGTTTCACCAAAACTGAAACATGACGATAGCGTATCGCACGGTACCACCGGCTCACCTCGTTGCCGATATAGGCAGCTTTGTGAAGCGGAGTGTCGCCACAGTGGTTTACTGCGTTGATGTCGGCGCCGTGCTCTAGAAGCAGCTCCACTACCTTCACATGCCCGAAGTAGGTGGCGAGATGCAGGGGAGTCTGGTCCAGGAACTGCTTACTTTTGCCTGAAATGATGGACACGGCGTTGGGATACAGGCTGCCTCACATCGACATGTTTTTGACACGTTCGAAGGACGGTTTGCAAATAATTAGGCCCAGGTGGCTGTACAAATTGTAAGGGCCTTACTTGTAGGGAGTTGCGAGGGTCAATTGTGAGGGCCTTTTACAGTATTTAGGTCATCACTCAATGTGCAAAGTCATTTCCCCTCAAAGGCACTAGAGTCATGAGAGCTGTGCAAGCATTACAATACCTCTAAACATATGATGGCTGAGATTATGATACCACTGCAGCCCATGAAATACATAAACCAGTAATGTAAACAGTCCCTAAAATTGATCTCAAATTATTTATTCTTGGTTGGTGGCATGACTTGTGATTGATGGCACCATAATTGATCTATACATTTTGTGAACGGCTGCCACGACCTGAAGGAGGAAATATGCATGGAGCTGGGTCAGCAGGAAAAGAGTCATTTGTGACGCATTTTGAACAAGCTGCTTAACTGGAGGTTAAAGAAAGAAAACTGACGATTCTAATGACTTGAACCAACCATTTGATCACGCCCCAATGAACTGTTATATACTTTATACAGGACCAGCTCAATGGTGAATTATAATGTCACCATTCACATGTGTGTAAACAGGTGAAAATGGAATTTAACAATTCACTCATAACACACTGATATGTTGAGACAGAATTCTTTAAACAGCCAGAGAAGTACAGTAGAAGAAGCAATAGATATCAACATAGCCTCTTAACGTGTACACAGGGTAATATAGGCACCATGTAGATCAACATGGACACTATGTGCAGATAAACAGGGAGTAATTTGATTGCTATAATTCGAGATGATTTTGATCACCACGCGTCATAAGGCGTTCAGTCAACTGAGGACGGCGAATCTTTGAAAACTACCAGGAAGTAAACCTGTTGGTGACTGTCCAGAGATTGGTCCCGAATGAGTTTAAATGAACATCACCACAGGAACTGCCATATAAATTGTGTGAAAACACTAAGAGGGCACTGCACACAATCCGAGCAAAGGTCATTCTAGACGCCTCATAACGGTTTAAAACGATGGCATATAGATATACAGATGACGCTCCTTTACAGAAAAGTCCCAAGCGCTCGCTCGGCCGACACTACACAGCTCCTAGTCTTTTGCGCGGCTCCTTGTGCGGGATGGCACATCTGAGCCTGACGTCATTACCTTATAACTTTAAGGGAATGCATGCCTGACAGAGACGTGCAGAAGAGGACGCAGATGTGTGGCTGGCTTGGGAAGAAAATGACTGGCCATGACGACTTAATCGAGAACATCTGGTCGTCAGATGAGGTAGCCAGACATGTTTTTCTACATGGACATGTCAGCAGGGAAGTGTGGTGTTCTGAGGATCATAACTAGCAACAGTAGTGCGTGCGTGCGTGCGTGCATGTGTGCGTACGTGCCTGCGTGCGTGCGTGCGTGCGTGCGTGCGTGCATGCTGAGGAATAACATCTACAGGAACAAGCCAAGACACTTCAAAAGCCCAAACATGAATATATACATATACATCTGCATATATATATATATATATATATATATATATATATATATATATGTATATATATATATATATACATACACATACACACACACACACACATATATATATATATATATATATATATATATATATATATATATATGCGCATAACTTACCCTTGCAATTTAAGTCCAGGGAGGTAGCCAAGGCTGACCTCATCTCCAAAAGCTCCTGCACTTCTTCATTATTGCCTAGTCGGCATTCCCTCAAAAGTGTCTCTTCTGTCTCATCCATACTGATGCAAATAATCGCCCTGCAATAAATGGTAAGACTTATCAGACAATTCGACGCAGTTACAGGCACAGCATACCCGGTGGTCACTGGCATGCTCAGCTGTCAGAGATGCCTCGACGTATGAGGAGGCTACATCACTTAATATGAGCGGGAAACGCTCACGACCGCCGGAGAGTAAACTGGCCGAAACGTTGTGTTGTGTTGAGTTGTGTACAAACCAACACACCAGACAGGAACGATAGCCCGGCCGACTATTTCATTTGAGACGCTAATAACCCGTCTCAATCCTTCCCTAAAACTGTAGCAGGAAACGGTCAAATCTCCTAGTTTTCGTGTTTTTTTTCACGAAAAATTACTCGAATCTTCTGAATAGCTGGATTTATGGGATCGAAGCTATCGTTAAGCAGCGTTCGTTGCGTGAGCCCTAACTGCTACTATCTGCTGAATCAATTCTAGGTCAACAGCAGAACTTGGAGGCGAAAAGTTAACCTGCCGCAACGTCCGACACGATCCGTCCCGCCCTCTGACGCCCCATGACCTTTAGCGCGACCGCTGCCACCAGCCACAGACCATACCTCCTGTCAAGGGCAAATAGCGAGCGCCTAAAGCGACTCGGACCCAAGCCGCCATGGGTAGGTGGATCGGAAGGCATGTGCTCTAACTAACTTGACTACCAAACAGACAAAAGGATGGACAGCTCATGTTGCAAATAACTGACCTTACCTACTTAAGGAGGCCAGAAGCACTGGTTAAATGTCATTTGCAAGCATACATCAACAGTGTATAAAACTTCTTACTTTGAGATGGGACATGTGTTCATAACTCCACCCTCCATCAATGCATCTCAGTCATTAAGTGACTGAGATGCATATTATGTTATGATGCACAATCACGTTAGTCAGAATTTGGCCTATTCTGACTAGCATGTGGTATGCCCATAGAATTCTTCAACAAATTGTGATCATGGGCACTGTCCCATGCTGTCAAATTTGTCATGGTACAGTATGGAGGTATATCAGTGCTATATTAATAGCATCATTTAACCAACACTGTGATACATGAGTTTTTCACTTGGGAGATGAGTCATGGGCAAAATTTCAACTCAAAATGAGTTATGAACAGTTCTTCAACCAAAATTCAAGTAGTTCAAGATAGTCTCAGACTTAACAATTTTTCCACAACCCAATGCACTCAAGACCTACTAAATCAACCCATGAGCCTGTTTTGTTTCTCTATAACTAGAAATGAAGTGTAAATGTGTATCTAGTATTCCAATCCATTTTAACTCTGACTCTTTAGTCCTGAATCCCTAGAACAATGACATGAACTTCACTGGATTTCACAGTGTATGATATTCTCACAAAAACATGGTGGACATATGGGTTGCCCCAGAACCTCACTCAGAAGTTTGCTTGGCATGTCTGGTTTGCAGTGAGACGTTAGAGAACTGTTAAGAGGTGTGACCATATCACAGTGCCTTATTGAAATGACACTTTAGAAGCTTCTCCTCCATTTATGATAAAAGGATGCTGTATAACAAGACTTCAACTTCTAGAAAATCTTACTCAGAGTCAGAGAATAATGAGATCACCTGAACTGATGCCTTGTCTGACACATAATTATGATGTGTGTATGTCATTCAACTCAGACACAACTAATGCATACTGATATAGCTTTAACTAATGAGCAAATACCCAGCAATAACAGTGGGAAATAATGTGGAAGAGGAAGGTTTGAAGCAGCATTTTCTTAGCCACATTTATGGTTTGGTGATCAGCTTTATTTCATTGTTTGTTAAATTAGTTTTGTTCATCTTTCCTTCCAATTACTGTTTTATCCTCATCTAATTTCCAAAAGGTATCTATCAAAGAGTGGGGGAAATTGTCAAAAACCACCCAAGAACAGATGCATGCAGACCTGCTTTCCACCATTGCATCATCTTACAGTAGCCAAAAGTGCTCATTCCAGATTGAGTAGGGCTGGGGAAGTGATCCAGCTCCCAACTTAAGGAAAAATGAGTCAGATCTGGAGATAAATCAATTTCTTAGATGTGTATAGCTTATCTTGAGCCATTTTCTATTTCAGCCAGAAGCTATTTTTGCAACTTTGCCCTCATATGTACTCTGTAATTGCGCAAACCAAGTTGCATGGTCAGTTAAAGACGACAGATGCTAGGATGTCCCACATATAAAAGATTTGGCCAACTGGGAATAGGTAGGTAAGTCTGCAAAAATTCATCCAGCATGCTTGACACCTTAGGATGTCCATGCCATACTGCTGTACTGAGCCTTAGGCTCATGTGTGCAGAACTCAGACCAGGCCAAATTGAAAAGGCCTTTGAATAAGCTTTGAACAACATTTTATACATAATTTTACCTGAGCTTGCTTTTGCAACATCACAATTCCTTGGACAATGGTTCTCAACAGACTAAAAAAGGTGGTGAACATGCAAAAAACCCTGTGTGCAAAACTCTGGGTAATCAGATTTACCACAGAGTGTTGTGTTGAGCACACATTGATATTTTGGTCACTGTCCACACTGCTACCTTTTGCTGCAAAATTTATTTATTCATTAACTGACTTCTTAGACATCAAACACCAGAAAAAGTCATACAACATATCTATTTCAGGGATATTAGCCGCAACATTACAGGACAAATCGTGGTTGGCCAAACAGATGCCTTATGTTGCAGAACAGCATTGTAAATAAATTGTCTTCTGCAATTTAAAATTCAATAATTATGCTGCACCACAAATACTCAATGAGCAGCATACCTTAAGACTCTGGTAGGAAAGGTAGCTATCCAACGCAAGGTTCACATTGGAAGATCTTAACCACATAACCACTTCCGCAAAGCTGGCTAGCACATTCATTACAGAAATAAAAATCACCGAATAAAATGTGTTGCCTTCATCTGAACATGCTACAACTCAGTGGCAGCAAAACACTCACTTTTTCAAAGCTAGTTTGCTAGCTTGATTTCAAGCACGTCCATCCTGTCGTCGGTTGTTCCTCTCGAACATACTCCAATCCGAGGATGCAAATAATAAACAACGCCCAAGTGCCCTTGCAAGTGCCTATCTTCACAGCTAACGAAACATATGCGCCATTTAAGCACTATTGAGGTGCTACCAAACATGTTAGAATTTTGGCGAATAGTGGCTAATAGTTTCATGCTGGTATGTTTCGCTTTTTTCGTCTTTTAAACGGGACGTTATGTGCTAGTGGTTCAAATGCATGCACGGTTGAAAGCATCACGATGCATCAATCAGGTTTGTTAACACGCACTCTCGTGGCCGCCCGAATATCATTCGCTCCGCAGGCGGGGGAAGGGGATCAAGTTGACACACTGAAATCTCGGAAACTATGCTAGGCAAACACACAAAATTTACGGGGTCGGTTGTCCTGTATGTGAACTCACTTATGTCATTATTTGAGGCTCCAAGTTCGCCACCTAGGGCCAAATAAGGCATAGGCGTAGGAACGTTTCCAAAAGTGGGGGGCCAAGCTCAGGGCGTACTTCAGGAACTTTTCCTAGAAAACAAGCCCGATGACCAGGGAGGGGGGGGGGGGGGGGGGCGCATAGAGATGGAGGCCATCGTTCTTTATTCTAATGTAATGACTGCTATGCTAGATATGCATCTAGTGTTGATTCTCACTGATGCACAGTCTTTCCTATCTAACTCATCTACTTCATTCAGGAAATAAGGTTATCCAGCTTCCCAAGATTATTCGTCCGTTTCAACGTTGCCTTTCCTGGGAAGTCAAAATTCCACAACCGTGTAGGCATTTTGGGCCATTGAGGAAGCATCTGTCTTCACAGGGCAGACACCAAAATATGGCCTCAGCATAGCCTGGCGGGAATTTTGGAAGTGAATCGACGGTTCACATCACAACAGATTTTGCATGCGCCTTCATTTCGCTGGCTGCTTTTCAAGAGATAAGACTTGTCACGGCATTCTAGGCGGAAACAAATTCGGAAGCTTGAAACTGCCAAAAACCATGTGACAAAAGCCATAGAACTGGAGATTCTCCTTCGAAAACCAAGCCACAGAATGAAGGCCCTTCTGTCCTATATTTCTTGTGTGAGCCCTGCTCCTGTCGGCCGTCGGTCGGTGTGAGCCACTGTCCTGGCCCGGATGTCTCCGAATGACTGACCGCGAACTGATGGTATGGCTGCTTTGTTGCACATTTCTGGATCAGCATTACTACTAATTGGGATGTAAAACATGTGTTGGACACCTGCAACAGTGCCTTTTTCCGAATTATCTTCCCTTGCACCACGCCACCCCAGAAAAACGCCGCCGGGAAGCTGCCTTCTTTAGGTATGAACTGGCCCCACAGACATTTAATTGCCCGTTATTCAACATAGCTAACTCGATCTACTTTTGTGTGTAGGGAGGGGGTAGCCAGAGCCTTGGCAGGAGGAACACTGGGTTGACAGAAACCCCCTTTATGGTGATCCCCCCCACACAAAAAATATCCCCGGATATAGTTTACTTGTTAACAAGGGGCACAGTTTTCTTCATTTCTTTGTTATTTTTACCTTGCAACAAGAACAGAAACAAGAAGGTACCGTGAACTCAATTTTGTTCACATTTTTAACACACTTCCGGGTGGCCGGCTATATACCTTCGCTCGGGTGAGGGGTCAATTTGACTCCCCTGAGATCTCGGAAACTAAGAGAGCTAGAAACACCAAAATTACAGGGTGTGGTAACCTGTGCGTTGACTCACTTAGGTTTAAGTTTGAGGTTCTTGGATCATGTTTTTCGGGTCAAATGAGGTCAAACAAGGTCAAATTTCAGGTTGGTCTTTAAGGGCCCCCCAGAACCTAGACAATTGCTTCTAAGCAAAAGCATGCATCTTCATTTGAGGTCAGTGACCTTGTTTGACCTTTTGAAGGCCACTGTGACCAAAATCATACAAGACTGCCCTGGGTTTTGCATTTGAGCAAGCGAGAAAGATTACGCTAGGCAGTATGTTCTTAAAAACAAAATGTTGACCTCGATCATTCTAGGTTAATGACCTATTCCTGACCTCTAAGAAGTCCATGGAAGATGTATAATGCGGTTCCTGCTATCAATAAATTCGAAATGAGCACCGAAAACCATCCCATACAGCAAGCCCTAGAGTAATAAAACAGGTTGGTTTTGATCTTGGTCTGATCTTTATACCTGACCTTAGATAAACGTTATTGGCTCATTGAATATTTGTGTTGGCTAAGAAAGCATCTCAGAGATGTCTGGCTTCGTCTAACACTCAATTGTTGCATCAAGTTGAACGATTCCCTAGAAGTTGACTTCACCGAAACCATGGCCTGACTTTGACCTGCCATAGGTCAGCGACCTTACAAAACACATATAAATTTTTGATGCCAAACGATCCGCTATTCAATTGTTTGTAGCAATGCAAAACATGGCGCGGCTGCGCGGCGCCGTTCGGAAACCATTCCGAAAAAACCTTCAGGGGGCGAGCCAACTTGACCCCCCACCCGAAGCGCGTGTTAATGGTAATAAACTGCACAAATCAGACGTTTAACGACCGCGTGGAATAAATCACCGGTGTTTTTAATTGGCAATGGCTTAGTGGACTCTTTCTAAACCGATGGCATTCATAAACTTTTTCATCATGTTTTATCTGCGTTCTACAGATATTGAGTGCGTCGTGAAGATAAATTGTAGATCGATGTGTTCCATCGAAATTTGAGAGGGAGAATTTTGGTTGTAGATCGAGTGGTCAACAGTGTGTATTAACATCACCAAGTCATGTTTGTCAGAATATGTTTAACATTCAGTCAGAATCTATTAGTGTTACAACTTATGTAACGTGGTTTTTAACATGCGCACTCGCAAATCTACGCAACAAAAACCTCGACACCAGGCGTTGTAGTCTCCATTATCCGCGGAGCGCTAGCTCAGTGGTTAACTTTTCGTCATGGTCCACTGGTGGACTAAAATGATAACGGTTCTAAAATAATTACCTTTAAAGACTTGAATAGGTTACTAATACAAATTACGTGACATACTTTTGAGCATACGTACTCGCAAATCTTAATTTAAAAACAACTCGACGCCAGTCGTTGCAGTCTCCGTAGGCTGTGCAGCGTTGGCTCAACAGCTTATACTGAGCTGTGGCCGACGGGTGGACGAAAATGAAGATACTTTTGAAAGAAGTACATTTGAGCACTTCAGGACATCAAATATTTGATCTACAAAGCGGTCTGGGCGCATATTTCATGTGTGCAATTTTTAGACTGATGATAAGACCGGATTGTCCCTTTAAGCACAGCGGAGTGGTGCTGGAATATAGCGGTGGAAGTGGAAGATTGAATGTAGATTCTCTATTTTCGTATTTCTGTGACTATTAACCTGTCCAGAAGACAGATTAACATGGCGCTCGCCGTCTGGTGGCCATTGTAGTGGCCGACGCCGTTCGGTTTCACTGAAGCTGCAACCCGGACCATCGCTGCCCTTGCTCTCGAGGTTGCGGGCGGGCATGTTTAAACCTTTTGAAGATTTTTTCACGAATCCATTCTGAAAATACGAACGTTCTTATACAAACATGGGATGGTCTTGTTCGTTTTGCTTAAATTAATTTCGCCCTACTCTCTTCAACAATAATGAGACCTCCACTATACCCAACAATAATGAGGTCCCTTATTTCCTTCCAAGCAAGGTGCCCCTTGAGTGGAGCACCAAGGGCACATTACCGGTACCGGCCAAGAATTAAATGGCCACGCCGTCCCATCGCAAAGCGTCTTCTGGCTGTTATTCTAGCGACACGGGGCGGGATCTCCTGGTCGATTCGGAGACCATTGGAAGGATATATAACGTCACATTGTTCCCCTCCCTGACACGGGAGGCCTTCTCACCCGCGCAGTTGGCTCCGGATCAGCACAAGAACCCTCATTGACGCAAAAACATCCCTGATCGTCAAAGGTGGTCCAATGATTGTCACACAGGCTCCAGTTCCGTGTTTTGTTTTTGTTTTTTTGTTTTTTTGTTTTCTTCAGAGCTATTGAGGAATCCCTGAACGTAGATTGTAGATGAAGTGGGGTCCTAAGCTTGCATTAACATGGCTAATCCATGTTCGTCTTAAAATGTTAAATGTCAGAATTGAATGCTGCTAAAAAAACATGCAATGCTATTTGTAACATACGCGCTCGCAAGTCATAGCAGCAACAGCCTGAACGCCCGGCGTTGCAGTCTCCATAGGCCGCGTGGCGTCGGCCCGCGGCTATGACACTAAGCGATGGTCAATAAGCAAACGAAAAAGATGACGCATCTTGAGGAAAATGACTGGTGAACTAGGTAAATCAGCATGTATATTTAAACGTGGTGCAAAAGTAAGCTAAACACAACATTAATCTGAAAAGTGTGGGCGGGGGGGGGGGCAGATAACACTGCTAGCCCTCCCACCTTGAAAACTGGGAGCCATGGCCCCCCTGGTCCCCTCTATTCCTACGCCCATGAAATGAGGTCAAATAGAGTCATACTAAAGATTGATGTCCAAAAAGCCTCCAGACCTCCCGCAACCGCCGTAAAGCTGTAGTTGCATCTATTGTAATTATAAAGTCGGTCGGTGTTTTGCCTATGAAACTATAACTACGTCAGAGATATATGGCTTCGTCCAACACTCCCTTGCAGCATCAGATCAAAACAATCTCTAGAAAGACCTTTGCCGACAGCCAAGGCCTGACTTTTTACCTGTCATAGATCAGCGATGTAACAGGGTATTTCTACCTCTTATATCAAAATGGCTACCATTTAACTATCTACAGCCATACAAAGTTTGCCAGGCATGCAAAACCTTGGACCAAAACCTTAAGACCTTGGAAATCCACACATCATTGCGGAAATCATTCTGGAAAAATCATCGGAGGGATCAGATTGTCCCCAAACGAGCGTGTCTTTAAAAACCAATAAGATGTTGCTTATCTCGCTCTATTTGATTTTTTCATAGGTGGCAGCCTTGAGGTGCTAATCTATATTTTGCAGTTTCTTGACTTCTACAACTTGCAGTCCGTTGCGAGCCTGAATATATTGA